GAAATCACTGACTAAATAAAATACATACATGTATATACATGAAGGTTTAAAAAAAAAAAGGGGGGCACACATGTTTATAGATTTACAGAGATGCTCAGACTGAGTTTTTCCCACTTTCATTGGGCCACTGTTGCACCAGAATGTAAAAATATGAGTGACAAATAAGGCAAAAGATTCTGTATATTTCATTAAAAAAGATTTGAGACAAAAGATTCATTGGCATAATATGATCTGATTGATTATCTCCATATCCTTCTTTTGGTCACTGTGATTAAAGATTCATAGAAATATTAGAAATAACAACTGAGAATATCACTTTAGTTGTTTTAAAAGCATGTATCAGTATTTTATAAGATATGCTAGGAGTCTCCTCATAAGAATATTTAGAATACTGATCCAATAAAAGGAATGTGAGACAATATGATCATAACTCATGCAAAAAAAGATTTATCAACATTTTAAGGATCTTTTAGTGTCCTAGTGTATTTCAGGGTAAACAATGGCAGTGTTTATATGAATGTTCTAAACATAAGGTATATAACACAGTAATAATGAATAAATACAAAGATGACCTTCATAGAAAATGTATAAAGAAAAGTTTGTTAAAACTTACCATGTAACCAGGTAACTCAGTAGAGTAATATTCATTAACCCTTTCTCTTCCGGCGCATTTTACGTGATTTTGGAGGCCTTTTGACATGGCATTATTAAATTATTTCTAACGTTTTTATCCAAGGGGAAAGCTAGGCATAATGCATACCATTTTGTAGGAAATTTCTTACAGATGATATTTTATGACTGTTTAGATACTCAACCTTTGACCTTATTAGTAAAAATTGAGGTCAAAGGTCAATTAAGTGCAAAATTTTATGGAATTTTTTGATACTTTTTCATCTTTAAGCTAAATATTAAGTATGATGTATGTTGAAATAGGAAATTTGGGATATACCCACAAAAGAGCATTACACTGTACTACATGAAACACATAAACTTTTTTTTCAATTCTGCATATAACTACTTAAAAGGGGTTGCTAAGCAACGTAGATTTCTTTAATTTTCGGGCAGAAATTTTCATTTTTTACTCATCCTAGACACATTTATGCATCCCAGCACATATAAAAGTTAGATGTGAGGTCATAAAATTACAAGGGACATACAACAGATAAATTGTCTTAAAGTTTGACCTCATTAGAACTATTTTTAGGAGGTCAAAGGTCAAATAAGTGCAAAAGTTTCATCAATTTTTTTCAACACTTTTCAATATTCTTGCCATAATTTTACACAATGGATGCTGAAATGAAAAATTCTGAATATACTCTCAAGAAGGGATCAGAACTGCAATATCCATGTATCATTTTAGTTCAAATATCTGTTTAATGACCTTTAAGTGGTTGCTAAGCAACATCATTTTAAAGTTTTTGGCTATATACATGTTTGTTATTTCACATTCTGGACACATTCTAGACACTTTTTGTAAGATATGGGCCATAAAGATGAAAGAACATTTTTGTATAACAATTGACCTTGACACTCTTGTTCTTCAGGGGGTCAAGGTCATATCAGTAAAGAATTCTGCTTTAAACTGTAAGTAAATATCAATTTTGAAATGCTTCAAACATGGATAAATCATCTAATAGTTGACGTAATAAAAATGGCGAATGACAAAATTTGCAAGCAAAGAATTCTGGTCTGCTTCTTACAAAGCCCTAGCAAAACATGTATACTATCCTTTTGTTAAACAAGAAATCCATTCTCTTGATGCCATTAAAAATAATCTTTATTTTCATGGATTTAATTTAAAAAGAAAAAAAAAACAAAATGATTTCATTACAAGATTTTTCTGGTATAACAGAGCTTAAGGGGTACAATAAAGACTTGACATGTTATCTTGGAGGGAAATAATAATAATAGATAGCATTGGCAATATTTAATGCAAAACTGTTTAGTCAATAAGTTGAAAATTTGACGCTTATATCCAAATATACAAATCCAGAAATATTGCAAGATGAATTCCAAATCAGACTGAAATCTTCAACAAAATGTTGAAGTGCACTTTTACTTTGTGTCCACCATTCTTTTATCAACTGTCATTTCTCTGTAAGACTGGAGGAAATTCTTTGACTTGTCCAAGACATTATTTGCTGTCAGGTACAAGTGATCAGCTTTTATCCTGTAAAAGATTTAAGTATTTTGAAACAGATACATGTCATTGTGTATATAAATTTATAAATAAAATTAAGAATGCTAAAATTACTACATTTGATTTTCCTTTTAATATTAAAATTGAATTCATTATGTGATTCAAGTATTTAAATGATATTGTTAAGTCAATGTATCAGGACTGATAATTCAACAACCTTGTAGTAAACCATCATGGTAAAATTACTGAACTAAAACAAATAGCATATATGGCAATCTGACTAAAGCCAGACCTCTGTTTACGCTATCGCAACATGTAAAAAAAATCTGGCATTAGATTGCCACGAAAGCCAGGAAGGGACACGTAAATTTTTCAAAAAAGTAAAAAATGATATCGAATCGAATTAGACAATCTAATCCCACAGATTACTAAATTGTTCCCTCGATTTATAATATGAGATCTCGAATTACACAATCCGATCTTAAGGATTACTAATTCGCCCCCTTGATTCATAATTTGAGATCTCGAATTACATACCGGTAATTTGTTTTCACAGATTGATAATTCAACATCTTGATTTGTTACAATGTCAGTCTTATGATTTTGGAAATCTGTGCTCTTGAATTTCATATGTACAGAAACATCCAATCATTTTAATCAATAAGTGCGTTCTATTTATTTTGTTTCAGCAACTGGTCATTTCCAACCTCTTTCATAACTAATTCAACGTATATTTATTTTAGAAATATTATGATTACACAAGACCCATATTCACTTTTACTATCTAGGACTTTCAATTATTCTAATCTAAGATTTTTTGTTTTACAAATATAAGTACTAGCACATGGATTTGAAAATGTTCATGCATTTTTCTCATTTTGGACCGTAATATGTACATGTAATAAAAGTTAGGATGTAAAATACTACAATATTCTATTTTTTAAACATGTATTACCATATCCGATATGTACAGATAAATAATTTAAACGAAATCATGGGAAGGGTTTACATTCCGAGGGAATGAATCATTTAAATTAAAAGAATGAATTATACATCTGAGATAACGGATTGTGTAATTTGAGGGAACGAATTGATAATCTGTGAGAATGAATTGGCAATTCGTTATAACACTTACAGATTGTCAATCTGAGAGAACGGATTGTATAAATCAAGAACTCGGTTTACTTTTATAAATTTTAAAAATTCTATGTCCCTTCATGGCTTTCATCGATTTGTTTTGTTTTGAACATATTTTATTGACAAGCAAAAGGATAAGAAACAAGTTCTAACAACTTACTAGTTCTTCTCATACCTGCTTGGCTGCCAGGGTTGTAAAAAGAAAGGAGACAATAGACTGCAATGTTACTTCAGGGCAAAATTCCTGGCGCAAGGCTGTTCGTGAGCATGGGAGTGTTGATAAACCATCCAGTGAGTTTGACCATCCATGTATATGATGTAGGATAATTGGAAAGTGTCTGAAAAACTGAGAAAATGGAAATTTTAACCACATACTTTATGCAGATTGGAAATACAACAGCAGTCTATAAAAACAGCTTGTTCCATATCTCGGCATTCATTCAGATAGATATTACATGTTTAAATAATGTGTCTGTATGAATAATCAAGCATCATAAGTATTATGTGTTTCAAACACTTATTTTTCAAAATATAAATCAAATGTTTATAAACTTGTATGAATGCGATATCATGAGAATGACACAAATGAAATTAGACTTTATTTTTTGAAATTTTAGAAATACAGAAATTTTCAATACCAAAACAAAAATTTACCTGTTCATTGGTGTCCTTACATATTAATTGACCTTCGTAGTTCATGGTGGGCTTAGAAAGTGGGTATTCACAGATGAAAGTATTGTTGAATATGCTGAAAGCACCCTAAAATCATGAAAATTTCAATGTGAAAGTGGTACATGTACACACTGGTACATAGATACTGAAAACAACTATCCATTATCAGATTATTATGACAACTTTGATTTTACTTTGAACTTACGAGTGATTGTCAAAAGCATCAAAGTTCAAAAGCAATGCAAATTTGGCTGAACGATACGAAACACGCACACTGAAACATAAAGATCTAGTACATGTGTACATTTAGTTTTCTTTTGAACGTGAACTAATGCGTTTTAAACTTAAACTTTTCAGTCAATATACACGTGTATTCTTACCTGCTAATACCAAAGGCATGTCCGTATTATTTGATTCATTGATGTGATGATCTTCGTCGTGAAATAATCATGAAAATTGACGTTGAGATTTCGGATCACCATCATGTTTACACCAAAGCGGAAACACGTGTTTATTTCAATTCGTATCAACTCATACAGTGATGAGTCGTATTTATTTATAAATGCGAGTTTTTGTATTGTTAAATATAGATCTAATTAAATTGCAAATTAATAAGTATACAGTATAACAAGATACAACAATATTAAAAATCTGATTGATTTTTTTTTAAGTAAAGATCGACGTTTTGGAAATCTACAATTTTTATCAATATTGTATATCACTTCATAAAATATACATCATTACATGTACATGTAGATGAATAAATCAACATTCACTTCACAAAAGGCAGAACGAAAGTATATATTTGTTTTTTGCAATCTATTTTTTTTTTTGTATTATGCATTTATTTAAAAAAAATATATTTAAATGGTCAAAAAAGTCTTATAAAAGAATTTGTTGTTTCGAGTAAGACGCAACAATATCGACCTTGACGTTACATGTAAATATTGACCGATTTTTCCATAAAAACTATGCAAAGGTCACCAATTCAAATTATCGTAATTAAGAAAATACTGAGCGTAAGAAAAACTATAAGGGCTTGTTGGAAAGGAAATTTTCTCTACTTTTACCAGCTTTATTTTGTTTTCCCTATTTCAACACAGAAATAAACGTAAAACTGAGCTTTGTTTAAATATTACGAATAAAATCGAGAAAAAACACATAAGTGCAAGAAAATTCTCGTTTTTAAAATATACCTTAAAGTAATAACAATAATTTTTACATATTTTAAAAGTAGATAAAATATGCTTTAAGAATATACCATCAACAGTGGGACGGACAACTTCGGAATGGACATTTTTCCGAACTTGCGCACCCTTTTCCTTTAAAGCTTTCATCTTAGGGTTTTTTTTAAATGGTGGGGTTTTTATAATCAAATTGATTTATGAAAAAAAAAATTCAACATTTTCTGCTAGTTTTTGAGATATTTGAGTTCAAAAACAAAAATCCCATGGGGAAACATGAGCTTAAAAATACCCCACAAAAAACCCCACAAAAACCCCATGGGGTTTATTTTTCACCCCATGGGGGAAAAAACCCCACGAAAATCAATGTAGGTTTTTTAAACCCATATGTTGCTTATATTGTCATATGGGGTTTTTTCTCCCACGTTTCTTTATCATGGGGTTTTAAATCCCATGTATTGATATATTTACTGTAAGATAATTCCTAAAAACTTGGGGTTTTTTCTTATACTAATGGATCATTAGTATCTTCTCTGTTTCTCATTCTATAAAAGTGTATAGTTATAACAAATATCTATTATTTTTCAAATTTTCAAGTATTCATTCTTCAAATTTTTGTTTATGTAAAAGAAGATTTATATGAAAACAGGTTTCTAAGGCAGTTGCCTCCCATAATGAAACATTCATCATAAAACTCTTCACAGATTATTTGATCAATGACAATTAACATGATTAATCTGAATATTTAATAAATGAAACAAGAAAACACAATAGCAACCAATTCACAGTTTCCAAAGAGGGTCTCTTTCCTTAACTAATGTATGTTAGGTTTATATGATGTCTAGTTTGTGATTTTTTAAAAAAATCTCCATTCCCCTTGCATTCACCACTAATAAGATTAAATTTATTTAATTCATGTGCAATGTATCTACATATTTAATTAATGGAACTCAATTCAGTTATATATCACAAAGTACAACTATTACAATCTTTTGATTCACCCAAATATTTAAAAATAATATATTTATGCCTCTTGGATCCACCACTTATCAGTTTAGATCATGACCACACATGACATATTATCTTAATGATTAAAATCAATCAGCCATATCAAGGATATTAATGACAATGGCATAGTCATTAATATCCTTGATACACCACAAATATTTCTTTAAAATATGAATATCCACTCCTCATGTATCCACCACTAATAAGTTAAGTTCTTGATCACACATGACATGTAAGATTAAAGTTTGAAATAAGTTAGCCATAATCATTATTATCCTTTTACCCACCACAAATATTTAAAAATAATATCCGCTCCCCTTAGATCCACCACTTTTAAATTAAGATCATGTTCACACCTGACATAAAAGCTAAATGTTTGAAATGAATTAACCATAATCATAAATCATTAATATCCTTTGATCATTCACAAATATTTAAAAAAGATAAATATCCACCCCCCTTGGATCCACCACTTATCAGTTTTGATCTTGATCACACATGACATATAAGTTTAATGTTTGAAATCAATTAGCCGGAATCAGTAATGTCCTTTTACCCATCACAAATATTTAAAAATAATATCCGCTCCCCTTAGATCCACCACTTTTAAATTAAGATCATGTTCACACCTGACATAAAAGCTAAATGTTTGAAATAAATTAGACATAATCAAAATTCATTTTTAACCTTTGATCAAGCTCAAATAATTAAAAAAGATAAATATCCACTCCCCTAGGATCCACCACTTATAAGTTTAGATCTTGATCACACATGACATACATGACACATGACATATAAGCTATATGTTTGAAATCAATAAACCATAATCATTATTATCCTTTGACCCATTAAAAATATCTATCTACTCCCTTTACATCCACCACAACTTTTATGGCTTTCAAAACAATTAATATCCACTTGCCTTGGATCCACCACTTCTTAGTTAAGATCATGATCACACACAGAAATATTAAATAAACGTTGAAATAAATTTGCAAAAATCATTAGTATCCTTTGATCCACCACATTAGTATTTAAAAATTCAATATCAACTCCCCTTGGATCCACCACTCATAACTTTAGACTATATACATGACTTATAAGCTAAATGTTTGAAATCAATTAGCCATAATCATAAATAAAAAAGATGAGACAAATATCTCATGTCGCTTTGTCTTAGGTAAATGAGAAAAGCAATACCTTAGATCCGCCATCATGTCTTTAGATATTGATCACCAATCTGATTTCTTCTTCTTTTTTATCAATAGGTTAGATATCTTTATTATTTTTATGGATGAATGAATATTATGAAAAATGAAATAAGTTGCATCTCTATGCTACTCTGTCTGAATTAAAAAAAAAAAAAAGCTGAAATAACCACTTAATATCAGCCAAAAAAGCAGGTACAATAAATATGATTAAATAAGACAACATATACATTGTATACATGTACTACGCCTTTACGGTACCTTATTTACTACTAGTCTAGTAATTTTTTAAAGTTTATTCCTGTCATCAATTAGCTCGACTGTTAAATCTACATTGGATAACGAATCAATTTAGGCTTTACATCTGTACATAGATCATGTACATTATAAATTATTAGTGATATATAATTGGAATTCATCAAAAATTCTTTGGTTTCTAATTAGAAAAAAAGAAGTTCTGAAATTATTAAAACTAAATTTTCATCCTGCAAGGTGCAGTCAGGCAATATTGATCCCATTCTGACAATATCACTTTTTTTCATTGAAATAGATCTACATGTATGTTAAACATGATATTTCTTTTTCTTATGATACTTAAACTTTCTGAATATAAACTAAATTATTGTAAGAAGACGTTCATTTTTACAGAAAGCATCTATATGCATTATCAGGTCAAGGTCAGTTAATCCCTTTTGATGTGTTCTTTTGATTTTTGTCCCCCACCTTAGCGAATAAGAGAGGACATTAAATCTTAATATTCATCTGTTAAATGGTCGGCTTATCAATGTCACAAAAACTTTAAACTTTGGTTATGTCTTTTGAATGAGATGAGATAGGGCTTTCAACTTCTTCAACTTATACATGTATTACCTGTGCGAATTATTCCTTTCTTAATACAGATTACACTATCATGATTTTTTACCAATTTATCTTGACCTTGAAGTATGACATACTTTTCATAAATATTAATTCTTCCTTATGACTTTGATTTAGAAGAGATAGATTTTTCATATGTCTGTTGCAAGATATTTCTGAGCATGCTTTGATTTCTGACCCCTTGACCTTTGCCTTCATGTTTGACCTAATTAGAAAAAAAACTTTGGAGCTACAGTAACTCTTCAATAAGGTATTTCCATAAATATCGTATGATTGGTACTCTGTTTTCAAAGTGATAATTTTTGGTTCACAGTTTTTTAAAAGGAAAATAAAAATTTCACATCTATATATCACTGCAGTTGTTAATATCCACCCTTGTGTCACAAGGGTGGATCACAAGTTGTGAGTACCCCATAAAAGTACATGCAGGGATTAATAATTGAACTCATTCGCACAGACCTAATGTTATAGAATCCATAAATTAACTGAACTTGACCTTGATTAACCTTAGACAGGCACAATGTGACATACCCTACTGATACATGGGACACCCTGACAGATATTCCTCCTCCCTAAATTGACTGTTGAGTAAGACTAAGAAAACTAATAAAAGTTATATTCATTTTTGACCATGTATATTCCTCTAATATCTATCATGTAGAGCTTGATTCCGTTTTGCAAGAAATAACCACCAAATTCATAGCATGCTAATACTTACATCACTGACATGTATGATGTAAACAAACCCTCAGACACTGACTGCAGAATTCCAATTGGACATTTTGTGATGTTAATGGAATAATTCACACACGCCAAATCAATCGGACTGATTTAAATACTTGCGTGAATTAATCCTTGTTAAAATAAAGTTCTGAATTCCATCATTAGGCCTATAGGACATCCAGACACTGAGACAGGTGGTTTTCTTCATTTCCGCTCTTCTGTAGTGCGACTAAAATGGGTAACGAAACTTGGGCCGAGCCGGCCGAGAATTTCGAAACTGAAAACCGTGTTTTTTACAATAACGGAATAAATACACATTCTTTCTTCATGAAATTTACGGACATACTTTATTACTATAAGATTTGCCTTCACTGAAAGTTTTAAATTAAAATGTGTTTATCCGCTTGTCCTTTTCAAGGTGACTAAAATGGGTAAAAAAAAAAAAAAAAAAAAAAAAAAAAAGGTAGCGAGCCCGGTTTACTCATTTTATCGATTTACACTTAATTTTGGTAATATATTTTCAATTATTTTCGATAACTATTTAAAACATCTTATATTTGTAGTAATATACCGATTATTAATTAAGCTGAGCCTGTTTACTAAAGTGCCGAAAACACGATAACCCACCTGCAGTAGATTTATATATATTTTGTCATTGTTGACTTTTCCATTCATTTATTCATTTATTTATTTATTTATCAACACATGATTAATCTACAGTTACAAGCATATATAACATTAAATTAGGCCTAATATGCACGATTGCGTAAAGTCCCTTGCTCGGCCCCTTTATCAAGCACATATATATATGCAATGATCGAGATATTTTGTTCACACCCGTTTCTGTCTCAAGAAAAGTATACCCCTTACTCTTGTTAGCCTGTTGTAAAAAAAAAAAAAAATTAATTGTATTTTTTATACGAGGAAAATGGACTCTCAGGGCAATTTTCGGACTTATTTGATTGTAAATGCATGATAGGAATATAAAAGTTTAAATCATTAATCAAAAGTAAAATTCTTTCGACCCTACCATGTGAACCCCCATTAATCTTTATTTTATAAATGTTATTCTATATAAATAATATTTTATCTCATTTTACAAATCCATGGAATTCGCGTATTTATGGTACTAGGTATGGGGGAGGGGGGGGGGGGGGCACATGATTGT